TCGGCTGATCGGTCGAATTCCGTAGCCTCGATGCGGTCCATGCGTTCTTGCATGTCGCGCATTAGATTAATTAAATCAGTAATTACGGCGTCCGGGGCTCTCAACTCGGATCGCGTCGGCTCTGGGGCCTGAGATCGCCTGGCGGGCGGTCCATTTTGCGCCGTTTCGGTGACGGCTTTTTCGGACACTCTAGATGAGTCCGGATTTTCCTCGCGGTTCTCTCGGCTTGGAGTCGCGTTTCTCGTCTGACTCATTTTGAGAGCTTTAGGCGTATAGTCCTCCTCGTTAGGATCAAATACGTCGGTGTCGTGTGAAGTGAGGGAAAATTCTCCTCGTTGTGACACGTGGCTTGGCGTGACGTCGGAGACGTCTGTCAGTGAGTCAGTCGGAGTCGGTCGCTCTGTATTCTTATCGCGGTGTTCGCGTTCGCCTGTTACGCTTACGTCTACTTCGTCGAACGGAAACTCGCGTTCTATGACAACGTTCGGAGATAGTACGGGCGTCTCTTCCTCGGCAAAACGCGAATCTAAATTTTGTCGAACTTGGTCTAATCCGTCTTGCTCAGCGGGCCGGTCTAACCCTTCGCTTTCAGCGGGCCGGTTTACCCCTTCGCTTTCAGCGGGCCGGTTTAACCCTTCGCTTTCGGATCGCGTCGCACTCACCGGGTTAACTAGATTACGCGAAGCGCGGTACGCGGACTCGCTATGGACGAACGACGTTTGTCGGACGGGCGTCTGTTGGTTCGGGTCGTCCGACATCTACTTAGCGCTCGCGGATATAATAATTTTCGCACTTACAATATCGCCGCGAATCGCATGTTGCTGCCTGTCTGCATCGCCTGGTCGTCGGGCCGCTTCGCTGCTTGGCTGCGTCCCTGTCGTCGCTGCGTCCCTGTTGCGCTGCTATGCTGCTTCGCTGTGTCCCTGCGTCGTCGCTCGGGCCGGTGATGCCGTGCGGTAGGTCGTGGCCGTCTCCGGTGTCACTTCTGCACTCGCGGCTGCTACCGTTTCTTAGCTCGCGTCTTATCTGACTTTTCCTTTCCGGGATGGGTTGCCTCCCTTATTAATTGAACTTGGTTTGTTTCAGACGTGAGATGGCGATGTGGGCTGGTCCTTCCTCGCAAGATGGCTGAAACGATCCCACCGCTGCCACCAAATTGTTAGCCGGGTATCGGCTAAGGGGATCGAGTTCCGCTCGCGAGCGAGAAAGGAGTAAATCAACACGTCCAATTTCCAATTTATATCTTTATTGAATAAATGGGCTTGTTCTACACGA